TGTTTCTGTCTCTCTCCCTCCCCCTTCCTCTCTCTGAAATCAAAAAAAATATATATATATATATATATATATATATAATTTTTTTTTTTTTTAAAGAGTCCTTATGTTTTAGAACTGCACACGGACATATTTAGGTATGGAAACTATGATTAGAATTCGCTTCAAAATAACATGAAGGGGAGAAGTTGGGAAGGGATATAAATGAAACACCACTGACAGTGTGTTAATAATTGTTGAAGCTGTAAATTGATATAAAGTACATAGAAGCTCATTAGACCATTCACTCTACTTTTACCTAAGTTAAACCAACACAAACTCAAACAAGAAAATAGTTATTAAGGGATGTAGCTCATCATGACTCAAATTTGTTGCCTTTAAGCAGCTGAAAACTATTAATAGCATCCTCGGGCCTTGTTTTGCCCACTGCAGAGCCAGGCTCCACAGAGCTGTTACAATAAGCCTTTTGTTGGTTTGGCAGCTTCTCACATACAGTCACCCCGGTGAGTACAGTCACCCCGGTGACTCGGGAGCGATGGAATCTCCTTCCCAGGCTCCAAGCAACACCCCAAGGCAAAGCCCGTGACCGAGGGGGCCCCACACTGCCTGCAGCAGGAGTCCTGGGGGGAGGCCGGAGACGCTTCTGCCCCAGAGGGCAGCGCTGCTCTTACCTTTTAAAATGTAGTCGGTTAGCAAAGTGGGCACCTTGTCATTGTCCTCCTTCATGGCAAAGAGAACTGGGGAAGGAGAGGGACAGTGATGAGCCAAGGCACCAGCAAGGCATGAAGCTCGCCTCTACGGCCAAACAGCCCACCAACCCGAAGGGAGTGAGAAATGATTCAAGGAAACCAGGCGTTTGCTGAGCATTAAGCAAAAGTCTAGAAGCTTCTGTCAAGATCAGCATTCAAGATCAGTGGTGGTGGTGGAGCCTGGCCGGGCGTGGCTCAGCGGTTGAGCACCGACCTAGGATCCAGGAGATCTCGGTTCGATTCCCGGTCAGGGCACAGGCCCGGGTTGCGGGCTCGATCCCCAGCCAAGGGCATGCAGGAGGCAACCGATCAATGACTCTCATCACTGATGTTTCTCTCTCTCTCCCCCTCTCCCTTCCTCTCTCTGAAATCAATAAAGACATATTTAAAAACAAAACAAAAACAACTGTCTCTAAAGAGTTTCTATTTGTATAAACTTATTATTAGAAAATGTCCTCACCTCCAATTTATTAATAACAAATGAATTCAATCTAATAAATATTTGTTTTCTGTTTTATGCTGGGTACAGCACTAGAATTTGTGGAAATGCAGGAGGCTTATGGACCCTCAAGGAGCTTACTTAGGCGCTTCTTGTTGAAACAGGACATGACTCCACTGGAAGCAAACAATGAGAAGTTATTAAAGCCTAAAGGCTTTTTATAAAATTTTTAAAATAGCTTTTTCTGTTATTAAACTAGGTAGCATTGTGGTGGGCAGTTAGACAGACGTGAGCAGATCAAGGTCGATAGGCCTGGTATAGAAGGTCCCCAGCTCGGACAGCCCTGGGTGCCTAGCGACAGGCAAACTGGGAGAGCAAGGACCTCGGCCCCCGGTGAGCTTCCTCCCAGGCCTACAGCTGGGCACACGGTTCCAACCCTCCCCTGGCCTGACCTCCTCTGGCGCGTTGCTAGTCATGCAGGTTGGACCCCCATAGAGGGGAAAAAACAAGGGGGCCGGAGAATAGCCCTTGAGCATTAGGCGCCCAGGACAGTGAGGTTATGACCCTCATCAAATCCAGTAAGTGCACTCAGTCATTATTTGTCTAAGTTGGTCGTCAAAATCTAAAATTTATCTGAGTTGTCCAGTCCCCAGAGCTGGTCTTTGGCCTATTCAGGAGCAGGGTAAAGAGGAGACATCGTTCACAAATCCATACAAGGATTTGGCAAAAAAGAGCTTTCAAATCCTACAGGAGAACCGGTATTCAGAAAAGATGGCACTTTTTTCTTTTCAAAAGAATAAAATGTTAGAATGTGTATCCATCCACATGATAGATGAGAGAGCCATAGAAAAATGTTAACCAAATGTTAACTGATGTGACTAAAATCATGATACAAAATTGTATAGCCAGAATAATTCCAACTACATGAAAAAGACATAAAATACTGTGGCTGGAAAACACCAAAATGGTAACCACAGTCAAGGGGACGATGAATTATTTATTTTCCTTTGTTCGCTTCTCGATATTTCCAAAGTATTCTAAATGATTGATACACTCTAGCTACACTTTTTTCAAAAATGGAAACAAGCCCACAGCTTCTTAATTAAAATGAAAGGATTTCACACTGAATTCCTTACTGGGTGTCTGTATAAATACACCGCTCTTCCTTTCGTTGAGACCATGATAGAGTACTTTACATAGATCAGCCTTCATAATCTGTCAATTTATTTTCCAAATGCTTACTACTTGTGAAAACACAAACACCTATGAATGTCAGTTCATAGCTATCTGCTCCCTTTAAAAAACACACACCTTAGTGCATATTTATGCAAATAAAGTAGTTTAAAATGAGTCAAGAGGAAGCCAGTGTCTTTTGAATTTAGAATTTCAGAGTCTCAAGGACGCAGTATCCATTGATGTCAGCAGGGTTTCTATCTATCAGAACCTCCCGCTTCGTTTCCCCGGCTGGTGGAGATGAGAACACTCGGTCGCCTTTAGCACTGGGGCCGGGCGGGCACCCATTGCCCTCGGCTGAGCGGGGAAGCGCCTCTTCCCGTCCCCAGAGGTCCAGATCGCCCTGCGGCTGCCACCGGGCGGCGCTGCCAGGGCTGGGCGGCCTGGCTAGCATGTCACTCATGCAGTCCCCGGTTGCCAGGGAGATGGGCGGCTGCCGATTCCCTGAGCCTGTCACATCTCAGCCTAGGACTCTCTTCCTACCAGAGTGGAGCTGACACCGATGGTTACCACCTGTGCCCGGGCCCTTGGGGGTTGTAGTGTTAGATGTATATGAAGAGATGTTGCCTACAAAGGGCTCTTTATGACACACTGTTTGCTCCCACGGCTCAGGATGTTTATTAATATTTGACAGCAGAGCCAAAGTGGAGGGGAGGAGGCAGTCATGGCCCGCGAGGAAACCAGGCTCCCTGCTTTCCCATCAGCCTCACCCCACCTGAGAAACTTGGCTTCCCGTTAAAAAGACAGCCAGTCCCACAGCCCGAGCCCCTGCTTCGAGGGGCACGAGCTCAGGCTGGCGGCAACCTCAAGCTGCAGAGGAGAAGACAGGCGAGGCAGAGAATGCAAAGCCTGCCGGGGACCAGAAAGCCCCTCCCCACCCTCTTTCGCCCACTCCTCTTCTTCTGGCAAATCCTGTCCCTTGCAGGAAGCAGGGCGAGAAAGGCCGGCCCAGGGCCTCGCTGCAGGGCGCTGAGCCTGCCCCTGCCCGGGGAGTGAGGAATGAGACAGAGCAGCCTGGCCGTCGAGGAATGAGACAGAGCAGCCTGGCCATCGAAAGCCGCTCTGGGAAATCGCAGGCCTGCGGCACCAGGGGTGCAACTCGCAGGGAGGGGTGCAGAAAAGCGAGCCGACCTCGCTGGGGAGAGAACTCACTGTTCGTCAGCATCTGCAGGTCTTCCACCGACGGAGGGGAGGCTTTCTTCTCGTAGGGGATGACTGTGTTCAGGTACTAGGAGACAAAGGGCACGCGGGCCTGAGACGCGGGGCCTCCGGGCTTGAGACAGCCTGCAGGGGGCCCGGGCTTTTCTCCAAGAAACACACCCCGTCAAATGTCACATTCTCGACACCAGCGTAATTCGCACAACGCTGTCTCAGGACCTTGGTCTTCGGGGAGCGTCTCTTTAAAACTAAGATTTGAGCCTGGCCGGGTGTGGCTCAGCGGTTGAGCGGCGGCCTTGGATCCAGGCGATCGGGGTTCGATTCCCGGTTAGGGCACATGCCCGGGATGCGGGCTCGATCCCCAGTCGGGGGCGTGCAGGAGGCAGCTGATCAGTGACTGTCATCACTGATGTTTCTCTCTCTTTTCCCCTTCCTCTCCATGAAATCCATAAAGATACACTTTTAAAAAAACAACAACTAAGACTTGACTGTATCCGCCAGGAAACATTTCCCTCCATTCCAACTTCTGCATTCCCCAGAGACCAGAAGCTCTTGGGTAATTCAAAAGCCCTGGTGAGATTTTTCTCAGTCAAGAACAAAGAGAGCGTAGTATGTTTTCTGACCCTTTGTAGTGCAATTTGAGAACGAACAGTTCTTTTGTCAAAATGACCGGGGAGAACCTCAACCACGCCCTTGGTCTAGAATGTTGGATTTGCGCCCTCTGCTGGGTATAAGGCGCTTCTACAACAAAATCGTCTTAGGGCCCCGGGGGACAGGAGACTCTAGGCCAGAAAAACGCTGAAGGGCCCTAAGGGCCCCTGGCATAGGGGGTGAGCAGACCTCCAGACCGGAAGCCGGAGGCTTGTATGTTAGTCTTGTCTGCCATGTGGCTCTCCCACACACCAGCAGTGTGGCCTGGGGAAAATCTTGCCTAATCTCTTTAGGCCTCAGTTCTCACCGCTGTGAAATAAGGGGACTGAGTTAGATGCTCCTAAAATCCCTTCCCATAATGTGTTACAGAATTCTAACACAGGATCCAGCTCCAAATACGTGTAAAACACACACGCAATCTACGTGCACTTATTCCACAGTCTCACGCTGGTCCATTTATGCACCAGCCATCTCTATTAGCAGCATCAGGACTTATTCATCTTGATACCTGAGGGCCTGGCCACAGAATTCAGCACATATCAAGCACGCAGTAAAAGTCTGGACACGGTCTAAAAGTAACCGGAAATGTCTCTCCGGCAAGTAACTGACTAAATGAAGCCAACCCGGAGATGTCACAGCGTGGGTGACAGAGTGGGCAGCTAAAGCTGCAGTCCTGGTAGGACTGGTCAGCTGGTGACCCAAGGGGGTAGAGTTTAAGCTCAGGTGGGATCGATCGTCAAATGCATTTCCCTTTTAAAATTTTGTTCTTAAAACAAGTTAACTTTTAGGTCTACAAGCAGTGTCGAGTTTTAAGTTGTACCCATGTCCTAGACTACTGGAGCCCAAGGAACTGTTCACCTTTAAAAGACACTTTCTGTTCCTCCTGCAGAGTAGAAGAAAATGCTAGGACCGCCCTTGCCCGAGTGTTAGCATAATTCTATCAAGTCACCGCTCCCTGCTCTGCTGGGGAGGCCAAATCGCAAGAACCTGGGAGGAAAGCCGGGACCAGGGAGACAGCTCGTACCTGTTTGTCGGTTCCCGAGGAGCCGAAAGTCTGGCGGATGCTGCTCTGCAGGATGTTGGAGATGCCTTCCATGCTGAAGCGCTGGGGGAAAGGAGACTCAAGAGGAGCAGGTGCTTCCTGCTCCACGGTCGTCACCCCAGGGACTTGTGAGCCCTCTCAACCACCCAGGCCCATGAGCTACCACACTGCCCAGGGAGCTGCCCCAGAGTCCAGGGACTAGACAGTAAGTGTAAGACCTCAGCTAAGAGACAGGTCCAAATGGAGACCTGAGCGCTGAGAGCACTGCTAGAGTCTCAAAGACTCCTATCTAAGCAAGTCGCCCCCAGGGCAACAAGACCCCCCTGCACGCCCAGTGCTCCCTCATTTCCGTCCCCATTGTGGAAATAGGAAAATGAAGCAGTATAGTAACACTGGACAAATGAGGAATCAAACACCTTAGGGAAGAAAACAAAAAGTCCAGCCATTGGGAAGGGCAGATGTCAAGCAACTGTCCTTATCTGGGATGCTTTCTCCAAATGCACACACCTAGGCCCAATGCAGTAGATGTGGGACAGGGCCCAGGCAAAGGCATTCTGGAAAATCTCCTTAGATGATTCTGCTGAGCTTCCCTGACTAAGAACCACTGGTCTGAAGAATCTTTGTTATTAATCCTGACGCTTAATAACAATTAGGTGTCATAATTTTCAATCCTGAAACACCCTTCCGACACCCTAAAAAGGTTAAGTCAAGACTCGAAGCTCAGCAAGTAGCAGGGGTTCTGACCCACAGTCCCCAGGCACAACTTCTCTCAGTCCCACATGCCTTCACCCACTTTCTAGGGTCTTGACTGAGAGAACATTTTCAATGATTTTCTCATGTTTGCACCCTGTCTCCTCCAGCTAGACCTGAGTCCTCTAGGGGAGGAGAGGAGACAGGTAGCACTTCTCCTTCGTTACACCCCACTGTCTGCCACGTGTCCTGCTCAGTCACTGCTCAGTACTATTCCTGAGTCTACTGCAGGGCTGGTATTGGGACCTGAAGTGTCCAGGGTTTGAGGTGGGACAAACCCAGGCTTCCAGCTGGGCTGCTCACATACCTTGAGAGGCATCTGGTTCCCCTTCTCCATGCGGCTGCTCTGCAGGCTCAGCCCTTTCTCTTTCCGCCTCTTTTTCATCAGCTCGCGCTGTTCCTTCTGCTTGTTCTGAACCTCAATGAGCACCGTAATGAAGGAGTTCTTCACTTCCTTCTCAAATTCCAGCTCATCCCGGCGGGCCAGCTGTTGCACCAGCTCCTCCGAGAAGTCGTGAATGGCACCCTCCACCTGGTCCAGCAGCTCGGTCAGCTCCGACCCAGACATGTGCCTCAGTCCTGCGGGGAAGACCACTCTTAGGTGACACCTGCATCCAAACCAGAGCCACTGCAGAGGCTCCTGGGGCCTCTGCCATTTGATGGGTCTGCCCTTCCTGGGGAGACCCCCTCCAACTCCTCAAAGGGCCAGGAAAGACCATCACAATTTAGGGGCATGCCAGGAAGGGCAGGGCCAGTATATTGTCTGCAGAAATGAACCTCACTCTGGGCGAAACAAAGGAGGAAAAATAAACAGTCCCCAAGGAAGCCAGGGGACTCTGCCCACAAAAAAAAAAAAGTGTTGGACAGACACGTGGCTTCTCGATCCCTTGTTTCTGTCTTCCAAATTTTCCTGTTTCTATAATATTCCCCATGTGAAATGGGTCACGGATGGGGCAGGGGGACATTAGCAGGAGGTTTTGGCATTAGTGCTGAAGAGCAAAAGAGGGTGATGATCGAGAGAGAGCTGACAGTAAAATAAGCGGAGCAATGAGAGGCCTTCTTTATGCCTGCACTCCTGTGTGGCAGCGCCTGCCTTCAAAAATGCACGCAGCGTGCGGGAGACGCCAACACCGGGTGAGAAGGGGACCCTGGCGAGTTGAAGGAGCGTGGTCTGCTGCTGTGGGGAAAAAGGAAAGGGAACCTGAGATGGCGAGATCCAGATAACTTTATTTTGAATTCCTGCCCCTGAGGCTTCTTCGTTTAAAATGGATTCAGAAAGCATCTTGGCAAACGTCCCCCTTCCTAATGGCACCTTTTGTTTCCGCCTCAGCATCCATGTTCTTCTTTTTGTTTCTGCTGCTCCCGGATACTTGCTGACTTGGTTCGGCTTTCCCCTTTATTCTGTTCTGTGGAGCTGTCCTCCCTCCTTCTGTTTTTGCCATTTCACTCTGCATTTCAGCGGTTTTCACGAGTCTTTCGCTGAACGTGTCTATGTTTGGGACCTTTGTGTGGCTGAGAATGGCCTGATTGGGGCAGCTGGGAATGCAGAGCCGCAGCCAAGTCGCTCCATCACTCTGCACAGATTCCTTCTGCTGTGACCGCCCTGCCTCTGCTCCCTACAGCCAGGCTCATTTTCAAAATCGGTTCTTCAGATCACGCCTCTATTTTTACCACCCTTCTAATCCGTGTTGGGATCTTCAAACCCTGACCCACCCACCTTCACCCTCCATGGGTCTGCTCCCCAGGGCCGTGGCCCCTCCTGCAGCAAGAGCCTGGTCATCCCTACAAACTGATGAATCTTATACTCTGTTTTGCCTTTGCTGTGCTACATCTTTTCATTTCATTCCTAATCCACCCATTTCTTTGCACTATCATAATTACTACAGATCTATGTCAGAGAATCAATACAACACACATATTAAGAATGTGGACGCTGGCCTGGCCGGGCGTGGCTCAGTAGTGGAGAGTTCACCTAGGATCCAGGTGATTGGGGTGCGATTCCTGGTCAGGGCACGTGCCGGGTTGCCGGCTTGACCAATGATTCTCTCATCATTGATGTTTCTATCTCTCTCTCCCTCTCCTTTCCTCTCTCTGAAATCAATAAAGATATATTTAAAGAAAAAGAAAAAAAAAGAATGTGGACGCTGGAGTTAACCTATGTGGCTTCAAGTTTGGCTCCAACCCTTCTGACTCGTGTGTGTGGTGTGAGAGGAAATGCAAATGCAAAATAAAAAGCTGGCTCTCCCTGTTGAAAATGAGGGAGGAGACTTTCCCTCTCCCTTACCTTCCTTTTCTTTCAGAATTTCTTTTTCTGTCTTTTTCAAATGTATGTCAATCATTTTAATGGCCAAATAAGCCTCTTGCCAGTCTCAGGACTCAGGAATGTTTCCTCAAGAACCATGGAGACACTGCTTTGAAACGTAATCGTCTAGGAGGGTAATGGGACCTAGGCTGTCACCTGACTCCAACTTGCAAGACCTAATTAATGTGATGGATCGTAGCCACTTGGCTCTAGACAAGAGTGGGATTTCTTTCTGCGTCTGCAGCCCCTGCAGCACGTGGGCTGTTTGTGACGTACATCACTTTCTGGGTTAATGCTTATTCAATAATAGAATTATCTTCTTTCTCCCCTACTTCTGTGGAAAGGAGATTTTGTTTTTTTAATTATATTTTTGCAACAGTGGCCTTCAGCAAATCAGTTAATACTCAGCTCAGTCCTAATGGGGTTGGTGTGGGGATGAAATGAGATTATGCACAGGAAGTCTTAGAACAGAGCGGCACACAGAAAGCTCTCCAAAAACATGAGCTGTTCTTATTACCTTCTGTAGGGGTTTCTTCACTGGTATTTACAGTAGCCTTGTTTTGAAGAGGGGGGCCCAGATTTCTTCTACTTAGTCTGCTTTAGTCTTGCTCTTTGCTTAGTTTTACCATTTTAATTTTGCTCGACTGCCTTTTTATTTCCAAAAATGCTAACTTCTCTCCTGAAGCCCAGTAAGAAAGATGTTGCCAGATCCCTAGATGCGAGGTTCTATGAGCTACACGTGAAGCATGTGCCCAGCACCTGGCCCAGGCAGGGGTTCTTCCTCCGAGAGCCGCCCCCAGCCCTCACCTTCGTAGGACCAGTTGTTGTTGAAGGTCTGGGTCAAGGCCTGCATCTCCTGCAGGAGGACGGAGTCTGCCTGGGAGGAAGTTTCGCCTCCATCTTCCTCTTCCAGAACCTCATCTTCCTCCTCAGGGTCCGGGGAGTTCTGCATCATTTCCTCGATCTCCTCAATTACCTGCAGAAGGTACACAAGAGACTGCTGAGTAACTCTGTCCTCTGCTGGAGGGATATTCCGGCTTAAATTCTGATCAGGTAAAGACATTTCTAATTTGCTGTCTGTAAAACTCTTAATGCAATACTGTTACTTAATAAATATTAAATAATAATAAAAATAGATTGGACCAAAAAGGCTTACACACACTCTTTCTTTAATGCAAAGCTTCTTCCAAGAACACCATTTAGATCAGTGCTTTATTGGAAATAAACGACTCTTTCAGGAAACCAGCAGAGCTGCCTGGATGGGAACATTTATTTCAATTTGCTGAGCACTTTGTTTTTAAGTGGAAAAATAGTTTATCCACCCAACTTTAACACAAAACCCAGTCCATTAATTGTTACAATGCATATGGCTGGAAAAAAAACCCCAAAGTGTTCCTAAAGCAATTCAAAATGTGGAGGTTTTTTTTTTTTTTACTTAGAGGGAAATAGCTATTTCTCCAGAATTCTAGACAGGAACTAAAGCTGTCTGGCAACAAGTGAAAATAAAGATCACGAAGTAATAAAAGGATACGTAAGGTCTGGAGAGCAGAAAACAGCTAAGAAATCCAGCCCTAATCTAGACTATCGATAAGGAACGGCTCCTGGAAGTGAGAGTAAAATTAGCTAGTGGCCAAAAGGAATGACTTTTGTACATTAATTGTTTATACATGAAGAAAGCAGGATAAGCAAAGACTAGTTCTGAAAGGACTCCATAGATGAGCCTGGTCACAACAGCAATACCTGTTCTCGATGCTGTGACTGACTCCAGCTCCGAGGCCACCGGACTGGGGTCACTGAAGGGGGTTTCTTCAAGTTAGGCTGAACCAACGAGGAGAAGATGTACCAGTTCCCTCCTTTAGAATAATTGCCATTTTATCCCCAAACCGTCTCATCTCTATTCACAAATTCAGGGGACACTCAATCTTTGACGACTAAAAGCCATTCATACAATGCAACTAAATGACAAAACCCCCTTTAGAACTGTATGGCTAGGTTTCTCTTTCTCTCAGAGTGGTTATCGTTGAATTGTGTCGCTGAATTGTATTTCTCCTAAAAGTCACAAGAATATGCCCGGCCAGCGTGGCTCAGCGGTTGAGCCTAGACCTATAACCCAGGAGATGGAGGTTCGATTCCCGGTCAGGGCACAGGCCCGGGTTGCGGGCTCGATCCCCAGCAGGGGGCCTGCAGGAGGCAGCCTATCAATGACTCTCTCATCATTGATGTTTCTCTCTCTCTCCCTCCCTTACTCTCTCTGAAATCAATAAAGACTTTTTTTTTTTTAAATTCACAAGAATAACTGTTAGCCCCTATTTTTTTTAACCTGGTTCCCTCTAATCTCTTGATCCTACCTATTTATATCCCATTTTTTACCACGGACACAAAAGAGTCTCTTTTACTGAAAAGCTTTCTGGCAGCCAAGGCTCCCAGTGGAGCTTTTTCAGAGTTATTTTGTGAAAAATCTTGTATGCTGCCTGCTCAAAACAACCATCCACAAATATTTGTTGACTAAAAGGTTCAATAAGGAATCCAGAGATCCAATATTACCCTCTTTCAGTAGTAAATTATTAAAGCCAAAGTATAATTAACTCAATCAAATGAGAAGCACTATATCTTTTTTATTTTTTATTTTTTCACAAAGAGACACAGTGTCTCTAAGACTCCTTTGGGAAGGCTCAAAATTTTCAATGTTCTGTGAAATATGAGAAAAATATCTATCACACGGAAGCCTCATGCACCACTTCTATTTTTGGAAGAACAGGTATCTGGGACCCTTGTTTCAACATCTTGACTCCAAGCACAATGAATTATAATAAGAGGCTTAGCAGGGGGTGAAGTTAGTCAACGTTGGGCCGGCTTCTGGCTGCGATCAAATACGGAGCCCACCCTACCCCAGTGCCAGGAATTATGTTCCTATTTACAGCAGGTGGCTAAACTGAGGCATAAAGAGAAATGAAATCCTTTCTGAAAGACATTCCAGGTCATCCACACAGCCTCCACAAGACCATACATTTTACTTCTGCCTTAAAACTTTTCCTCCATAAAAAAAAAAAAAAAATTTTTTTTAAATCCCAAGAACCGAGGGAGATACTCATACCTGATCTGCTGTGAGTAGAGGCTCCTCATTGATCCCAGAGTCGTGCTCGCTCTTCTCATTTAATTCTTCCTCTTCTTTGTCATGGATCTGAAGGGGGGGATGGGATTCTGGTTGACCATCAGCAGAACCAGGATTCTCTCTAGTCTCTACAGCAGGTGACACAGCCTGAGAGGCCACTCTAGCCATCCACTGGGTAAAGAGGGAGCTTGAAGAGGTGTCCAGAGTTCCGTCCCATCTCCCACGTGTCCCTGCCACACCACATGCATCGCTGAGTGCAGGGTGGTCAGAAAAAGACAGTGAGGGATGAAGGCCCAGCACCGCTCTGACTCAGAGGGAGCAGCACTGTCCTGTCACCCACAGGCCGGTCACCCCTGTGTGAACGGGAACCTCCTCAAGGTCAGTGATACCGCGACCAACTCCTGCAGCAAAGGCAATGCTTATTTACATAAGGAGTTTCGATCTGGGAGTCTGTGTCTAGAATTTACTTTATCAGGCATTTCAAAGGATAGGCTGCTCCCATCCGAAGAGTCAAGCATTTAGAANGGTCCAAAGAGTCAAGCATTTAGAATTGGATGAAATGCCCTCCGGTTTTCGGAATCTAGGCATGTTGTCAGAGCTCATGAAGGATGTAGTGAATCCATGTGGGACATGCCACAGAACCGCCTGGCCACATGAACTAAAGGACAAACTAAACAACAAATATACCAAAATCTGCCCTGCGCCTCCAGGGTTCCGTAATCCCAAGTGAGATTCTGAAAGTTCACAACCACCGAGACGGTAGATGTTGATGTCCAACGAGGTACTCGTGGCATTTCTAGCTTTACTGACCACAACCCAGATGGCCAGAGTCTGGCATTTATGTTCAAACCCTGCAAGACAGAAACCACTAAACTGCCGAACAAGCTGCCCGTGTCCAGAAGCCTGATTGGAAAGTCACGCAGGAGCTGGCGCGAAGTGTCCTCAGGAAATCTTTCTGCAGGGCCCCTGCTCATGCAGGAATCAATCTTACTCGCTCACCAATGGCTGGCACGCTCCTCGGCCTCTTTCCTGGGGTTATACTTTCCGATTCTAACAGGAAACACCCCAGTTCCAACCCAAGCAGTCATGCCAGACACAGTGAGTCCTCAGAAACTTTCCCCTCTTCACCGAGCTCCACCTTGGCAGACACCCCTAACAAAACACACACCTTCTGTCTCCATTTGCTTAAAACCAGGACTATGTCATAAAAAAATTAATCCAATATGTATTAAATGCCATCTGCGCTCAACCTGGATAAAGGGTAGGACAGGGAGGTAATGGGATCACTTGAGGGTCTGTATGCCAGATGGTGACATCTATTTCTGCTGGTGAACCCAGATGCTCCTCTCCCTGCCAAGTCCACCACCTGCGGGAGCCACCTGGTTCCCCAGCTCCCCGCCTCGCACAACACAACTCCCGGAGCCACAGCTGTTCACAACTACACTCTTATGGCAGAACTTGTAGGGCCAGAAGGTCCTTGGGTAGAAGTCGGCTCCTATTGGAAAAGAGAGCTTTTGTCTTCTGTTTGGATTATTTTTTATAAGCATCTGATAGCAAGTGTTAGTCTATAACCAGATTTTTTTTACATTAAGTCTATTTTAAAAACAGAGCGCTCTCATTTTCTGAAATGGGGCCAATTTTTTTTTCTACTGCTTTTTCAGAGAGAGTGGAAGTGAGAGAGAGAAACATCGATGTGAGAGGGACACAATGATTGGTTGCCTGCTGGCACCAGGCCGGGAATTGAACCCGGGACCCTTCAGTCCACAGGCTGACGCTCTAACCACTGAGCCAAACTGTCTAGGGCGAAATGTGGCCAATTTTAGTGGGTTTACTCCACTGACAATGCTGCACCTTTCAACTACCCCATCTCCCTTCCTGAGGTCCTCCCTTTGCGTCCCTGGTGGAAGGCAGGCAGGCAGGGAGCTTTTAGGGACAGATCCTTCCTGCTGCTCCAACGTTACAGGCAATGCGTGAATGACTCCTAGTCAGAGCTTCCTCTCCTCTGTCAGTCAGGCCTGGGTTCAAAGAGATTTGAAAATCAACTCCAAGCTTGTGAAAGTTACCATGAGTTCCTAGTATTATGGGAGCTATATCTACCCCATATTTCCTCAGATCTCAGAAGCCTGCCACTAAAAACAAAATAAAATAAAGGGAGAAGCATGTACATAGTATTCCCCAGAGAGGCCCAGCTTCTTGCTCTTCTACACAAGGCTGATCCCCTCCTCCGTCGGCTTTCACTGCATCCACCCTGTCCCGGGCCTTTCCTCCTGACTCTCTCATCCTTCCTCGCTCTCTCTAGGCCCCAGGCCCACATTTTCTCTCAATCCAGCCAGACTTCCTTCTGCTTCAATGGCTGCTGTCACTTCTCAACGGGCCTCTTTCCCTACAAATGTCATTCACAGAGTCCTACTTGCCTTCTGTTACCAGGACACTGTCTTGTGCATGGAGGGACCTGGAGACTATTATGCTGAGTGAACTTAGCCAGTCACAGAAAGACAAATATCACACGATCTCACTTACATGTGGAATCGAATGAACAAAATAAACTGACGAACGAAACAGGTCCAGAGGCATGGATACATGGGACAGAATAACAGATCTCAGTGGGGGTGGGGAGGACAGGAGAGATCAACCAAAGAACATACATGCATAACCCATGGACACAGACAATCGTGTGGGGAAGGCCTGGGGTGGGGAGTAGGTAAGGGGTGGACGGGGTCAATGGGGAAAAAATGGGACATCTGTAATATTTTCAACAATAAA